ATTATTTGAATTTTTATAAATCTCTTAATATTTTATTTGTTATTTTTTTACTTATAAAAATATAGTTATTGTTCTTTCAAAGTTATAAAAAAATTCGAATATATATTTGAAATTGTTTTATTCAATTTTAAAAATAATATTTTTTTATTATATTCCATAGGGGCCCATAGTGCACATGGGCCCACCATGTGGCATGTGGGTGGGGGCCCACATGTGCCACAAAAGGGTGGCATGCCCCACCCTCTTTGGATTCTCTTGTTTGCTTTTAAGATAAGGTTAGTTTGATTTGTGGCATGTGGTCAAATCTTGGAAGGGACATACTGACCATGGCTTTATCTATTTTGTAGCAAATTTGTTTGAAAGAGATATGGTCAATTTGAATTGATATGGATCTTATTTTATTTGTATTTGGTAGTATTTATCTACTTGATATTATTTGATATATCCTTATGGAATATGTGACATGGATCGTGCAATTTTATAGAATAATGATATTTATTTTATTTAAATATATTGATGGAAAAATGGTTTAGGAAAGAGGGATAATGGTTCATATACCTTCCATGATGTTGATAGTCATTTATGAAATGGATGGCTCAGATCTCTCACCCCACAAGTCACCCTTGATCGACCGTCTGTATTCAATCTCACAAGAAGAGGCAAGCTAAAGAAAACCCTAACAAGCCTTAATCTTATTCGAATCCAATAAAAAGGGATTGTCTTTACCCAAAAATCTCTACACCTTATCTCTTGTACCTAATTCCCATCTTTCTCTCTCATATCCCAAAAAGGGGGCATGCACCACTCTCTCAAGTTTGATCTATCTCTCTCACATTGTAAAAGAATATAAGGGTTTAGGTTATGGAGTTCTTCTCTCCTATCTCTCAAATATAGATTTACAGCTAAGGGTTTTAGGGTTTAGCAAAAAGAGAATCTATTTCTCTAAAACTAGGTTGCTAAGAGAATTCACATAGGGTTTGAGTTTGTAATCAAAAGGGTTCATGTTCCATTGGTGTGGCTTGGCCGAAATTTGCTTTCCCGGTTCGAGATTGAAGTTAGACCGTTGATCTCGTGCCATCGGATGGTGGTGACTCGGTGTGGGGTGTAGTAAGCCCGGTTGAGATAATCTCCGGCACTCTTCTTTTTTTTTGTGCAATCTTATTTTTTATTCTC